AGGATGGATTTTAAAGGATGAAAAGTTTTCTTTGTTTTAACGCGCTAATCTCTAGAAGTATTAGTACCAATCGAAAAATTAATTCGGTGTTAAAGCATTTATCAAGAAAGACTATAAAACATCACGCTGCTACCAATAGAAGCAAAAAAACAGTGAGATATGTGGGAAAATGAGTTAAATTATTTATTTTAATCTGAATATTTTTTAACTCTATTTTGCAATAACAATACCTCTAGCATATTAACCTCCTTGTAAGTATCGTGTGTAAATAATAATATCATTTAGTATATGCCCGTATAATTAAGAAGATATTAAATTGCGTTACTTATGTATTGTTATGTATATTTTTTTTATTCACGTTACCATTTCGATCTTTTTATAATACTGTGTTGCGAATAGTTCGTTTGTCTGTCTATTAAATTATAAGTATATAATATATTTTAACACTTACATAACAACTATAATTTGGTGATTTTAAAATGAGGCTACTTCTTTCCTTTCTTTGTTATGGTTAGGCATGAAATGCTGCACGCGATTCACAGCTTTAATAGGAGACAGCATCCTTAACGGAGTTACCTCTCCAGTATGCGGAAATTTTGTTGAAGTGACAGTTGATGAGCTGAAAACGTGATGCTTTGCCGTAGTTACGCGGAGGATGCATCTCGCTAAGCTTGTCACATTTTCCCTTGTAATGATGCTAGAGCGAACCGCACTTTTGACAATCTCTTAACGCGATAAGAAGAATCTTATAGAGAATAAAGCGAAGAAGAAAATAGGAAATGCAGCAATTTTGGCGGGCTTGTAATGGTAGCAATGCATGTAATGGGTCATGGGATCGATTTACCATCAGGTTCATTATGTTTCTAATCATTTAAAAAAAACACTTTAACGGTTTAAAACGCGATATATTGGTTAAACTTATTTGAAAATGATTTTTAACTTCAGCCCGACGTTTCGTAACTCTGGATCCCAATAAGCAGCATACCGGCAAACGCGAAGACACCGTTAGTCAATTCTGTAAGGACCCGGCCAGTTTCGCCAAATACCAACTTCGACGGAACAGATGGCGCTAGCGTAGCAATTTTTTACTTTGACGTCAGAGACATCTTCCATCTTTAGTATCCCCGTGACCACGGCTACTGTAAAGCATCCGAAACGTCGGACCGAAGTTAAAAATCATTTTCCAATAAGTTTAACTAATATATCCCGTTTAAAACCGTTAAAGCGTTTTATTTAAATGTGTACTACTCGCGTAAACTATAGACAGTATGTTTCTATTCAATTTATAATTTTACAGATACATGTTGGACTTCTTCTGGAAATCTGAATATTAAATGGGCGGTATTGAAATTCCGTCCAGGTCACCAACCAAAGTCCACATAAGACAAAGCCGTGAAATTTAATCGCGTTTCGGTTGCAGTAGTGTTTCACGTATTATCAAGTGAATCCATGCTTATCTAGTAGTATCCACTATCATAAAAAAAGCACTTATTAGTGAGAATATTCGCATTATTTTCCTTTAAGAATAACAAGCTACATTAGATCCCCACAATGTTCTAGACGTTTGAACAACAGCGAGTTAGCAAGCTGATAACGGTGCCCTTGGCCGAAAAATCCTCCTTTATACATCCATTCGAGCAAAGCTAACATTTTTGTTTGCTTAGGACAGATTCACCCGGAATAATTGACAGATCAAAGAAATTTATTGATAGCTATTTACACGGATTTCTTTTCTCCCGAATATTTTAATCAAACGACTCCGCCTTCTATGTTAAGGTAATTTATTAATACAACGTCTAACTTAATACATTTTGATGTCTTTATTAGTTTTAATGGAACAATAAAAAAATAATTACTATATACATTTAAAAAATTACGACACATGCGGGATTTGAACGCGCATTCACTGTGTACCGTGCTGCTTCAACCAATTGAACTAACGATTCGAGAGTTTGTCTTTTTTTATAAATTGATATAATTATTGTCTAAAACCGCAATATTATTCGTAATGCATTTGACAGTACTATTAGATACTTATACTCTAAGTAACCTTAGATAAGACGTTAGAAGCAAAAAATTCAGTTTAATGTCTTGTCATAAAATACTTTGTTATAGTAATATTTTTAAATAAAACACTTTAACGGTTTAAAACGTGATATATTAGTTAAACTTATTTGAAAATAATAGTAATATTTATTGTTATTATATTTTATATAAAATGGGCACTGATTGCACATGATGGTGACATAAAAATTTAAAACCATAAATACTGTATATTGTTTATTTTTTTTTGTTTTTTTTTAGGGTGCTCAGGTCATCCGAAACGTGGGGGAATTTAAAAATATTTAAATAATTTAACTATATCGCGTTTTAAACCGTTATGTTTTTTTATTTATTAAAAAAAACTTCAATCAGAGCAAGACGTAGCGATTTTCCAATCTATAATTTATTTTATTTTTTCGATGTGTTGTTTATCTCTTTCATTGCTATTTTCTGTAACTAATCGTATATAACTTTTAAACTATATGTAAAACTGTGTAGACTACATTTGTACTTTTTTAGCTACTCCTGTGCTATATGTTTGTGTACTGTGTTTGTTTTCATTTTGCTAAATATAAAAAAATGACGTAATTACGAAGGTCATTCTCAACTTACTTCACAGCCCATTGTCATGAATGAAAGACAATTAATAATACTCATATAATAACCCCGATTTACAAGCTACCTCTGGATAGCAATAATTCCCGTAATAATATATTCTTGTGGTGAAATGAACTAAGCTAGGGTAGATGTTACACTAGGAACAGAGGATAATTTAGGAATGATCAAGCAGAATGTATGAAAGGAAGGCTATCGGCTCCATATTTCATAGAAATTAGCTTATTTGCCAGATATGTAGATTGGGCAGACTGACTGGCGCCGCCCTCGTTCTACGAACCAGAAAATTGAGATTACTTTGTTAAAGCGTTTACCATTCTGCTAAGCTAACATGATAAGCTTCATATCTACATATTTACGTTTTATGACAGACGAGGACCTAAGCAAGATGTTCACTTGACAGTACGTGACATACCACAGCCTATAGCAACTAAGCAAGATACGCTGTCGACCCATTTTAGTTTTCCATTCGGAAATCCACAGACTGAAATCGAAAGGTGATTAAACTTTTGTGACATGTAATACCCAGATTTCCAGTTTAAATCAGATGTTTCAGAAAAATTATAATTTGATTTATGTATTATAAACATGTTGGATGCAGTGGGGATCGAACCACGAAATCACGACCCCAAAAGGTCTACAGAACTAACCTATAATTATTACAGACATAGTTTAAATAGTATGCTAGTAACATGCAGTCACGATTTAGAGGTATCGATAGAAAGTAGATGGATTAAAGCTAATATATTAACAAAAACAGGTTATAATATTAGTGTTGTAAAAGAAAAAAATAGGTATAACATTATTACATATAAGGACAAATTAATTAGTAATTAATAATAGTAATATTTTTAAAAACATCTGTATGTGTGTTTGTAAACTGTTGTGATAATGATACAGTGGTTTAAATAAAACGGTTTTAAACGTGTATATATTAAGGGCTACGGCCTGAGGTCCCCCCGTGACCACGGCTGCTGCAAAGCATCCGAAACGTCGAGCCGTATTTAAAATAATTTCCATATAAGTTTAACTGATATATATCGCGTTTTAAACCGTTGAAGTGTTTTATTTTATTGTGTACTATTCGCATAAACTACGGACGGTACTAAAATTTTCGAAGCTAGTCAATTAGGTTAGTGTATAAATTGTATAAGGTTTTAGCGGTCATTTTGCAACAATCGCTTCTCAACTAAGCAAAGACGCGAGACATCTCCCGCCGATGTCATCGACTAGTAATGGCGAACCGTCTTCCTAAATACGACGTGGGAGCAGATCGAAAACCCAAGAAGCGGCGATCACATTTCTGTGTCCGTTTAACTGAGCGATTTTATTACAGACAAGGAATAGATCAGAATTCTGTGCCTCACTCGACCGAAACAATCTAATGCTTAACAACCCGGGATTCGAACCCAGAACTTAACTACACGCTTAACCATTTAGCTAGAGAGGCGGTAGTCGGTAGAATAAGCTAAGTTAGTATAATATAAAAATAGACATTTTTTATTTTATTCATTACATGACTAAGAGTCACCTATACGAAAAACAATATTTCGGATGTAGAAAAACAAGCGAGCGCTACACATGGCGGTTTCAGTTTAATAACTTTTATCTAAGGTACTCCAGATACTGAATAAACAACTTTAGCAAACAACAATAAAGAGCCAGGACGAAATGAATTTGCCGTTTGTGAGACACTAATATGATTTTGTTTATGAAATAAAGAATGTTCATTAATGCCTTCCAATTAAAGCAGATAAAGATTATTGTACATGACACATATGTATTATTACGACTATGTGTTTAGTTTCTTTATTTTATTACGCTATTTTATTCAGAGTGTACAATTGTTAAATATAAAATTCTATAACATAGACAATGTTGTTATTTTTTATGATAAGAAGACAGATAATTTAAATAAAACACTTTAACGGTTTAAAACGCGATATATTAGTTAAACCTATTTGAAAATGATTTTTAACTTCGGCCCGACGTTTCGGATGCTTTGCAGCAGCCGTGGTCACGGGGTTAAAAATCATTTTCAAATAAGCTTAACTAATATATCGCGTTTTAAACCGTTAAAGTGTTTTATTTAAATGTGTACTACTCGCGTAAACTATAGACAGTACAGATAATTGGTTTAACTGGATGGAATGTGAAATGCCCCATTAAACATCTAACATGATGCGCTGTCGGCCCATTTTACCTGTGGATGTAGGTTCGTGACCCGGACAAAATTTTATTTGTAACCCATTGAATTTGCACATTTCAAATAGTATGTAACTAAGTGTAACTTATTTATAGACACTATATACATTTGTTGTAAGAATTAACAACAGTTAACAATGTCGAAGAAAAACCGTAAAAGATCGTTTGAAATTAATTTTCCAATCCCTAACAAGAAAGTGCTTAAGAATTGGAACGCCTCGTACCTAGACGGTCTAATTCCGTCGTCGGAGTTTATCAAGGGAGATAAGAAAGTTTTTCTTATTAAGTATCAAAGGACTGTCGTAAATACAGAAATTAGCGAGAGTATCATCGTCGGAGCGGTGTGTAAACATCTAAAGTTTGAAAGTGGCGCGTCGTACTAACGTCGAGCAATCTCATCGGGCCCAACGTACAAGTTGCTGCCTCAATATTAGTCCTCTATATCAACTCACGACATATTAGTTTTGTTTCCACCGATACTTTCGCGTCTACGCTTCTTTTTCTAGCAATTTCGAAGATGTCCGCCGCGCTGCGTTTCGTATGAAGTCATTTGGGAAGTTGCAACTTGTGTTGTATACATTTTTTTATACAAAGGAAGACAGACAAGCACGGGTTTCATTTGATTGAAGGTGACGGTGAAATACCTAGCCATATAACATCAAAACAAGATGCGCTGTCGGCCTATTTTGGCTTTGGATATTCGGAATCAATGCATATATTTATGTATGGTTGACTTTATCTGTTTATTGCAACACAGATTATATACACATATTACCTTAAAAATAGTCATATTAATACTTAGGGAAATCATTATTATTGCTAGTGATGTAGACAAGGTCTTATCGCTATAGAGTGAACTCTTCCAGGCAACTCTTATTTGAAAATATAATAAGATGATATCTTAGGCACAAGCGGGTCGTGTAAAGCTTAAGAATAAAATAAAAATCATTTACTTATTACGATGGGTTAATCGTTATTAAAAATAGTGATTAATTTTATCTACTCTGTAAAAATTTGGCCTACAATAAGAGTATCTTTATCTATGCAGATAACTATTATATAGTGAATAATATATGTCTTCAACCATCAAAGTGTAAGTGTAGTGAAAGTTAATATTAGTTTATAAGCGTGTACAATTGAAATGCATGAATATGCGCGTGCGCCGATGAGTTACGCGCGCTAAGCTATTAATTTGCCTGCCTTTATTGTATAATAAAGTGGACCGCAGAGGACAACTTTTTAATGAAACGATAACAGAGCACCCGAGACCGAGGCGCGGGCGAGCGTTAAATCTAACTCATAAATATGTTATGTAAACCCACCCTAATAATTAGTCGCGGTTACGACGTGTAGTTAAGTTTTATGGAGCCCGTAGAGGCTCTAAGTGGGAGCGAGAGCTCTGGAAAAATGTTCTTTAATTTGTCTGCCGGCGTTCGGAGGCGATGAAGCGGAAATTGTTATGTTTATTCGGGAAATCTTGTTTCTGTAGCTGCTGGCATTTTCCGCACTTTTAATGCGATTGGATTTCCGTATTCCCTTACATAGTAGAGATCGCATTATCGCTCTCATTGAATATGTATAGTTGAAAATTCGTTCGAGGTTCACTTTCGCTGCGAATAACTTAGCCGCCTACTCACTTATTAAATTACTTATACCAATATGTAGCGGGTAAGTGATATTGTGTACGTTAAAATTTCCGTAAGCGTTCCTAAAATAGACCTTCGATAAATTTGCTCTATTCTATTGCGGAATGATGTATGAAAATAAAATGTGTTTTGAGAATAAAATGTTTTCTGTAGTCAGTTTTCTATGCGTTGTTTACAGCCAATTCTCTGTATCAAAAATGTAGATGATGCGGATCCGTATCGTGGTGTACACTTACGATGAAAATACGTGTGATTGTGAGCATACGATATGAATCAGTGATAAGGATCCCGCGTGCCGGTCGCCTAGGACGCGACGCGGCGGGGGGCGGGGAGCGCCAGCGTACAGCGTAGACACAGTACCTGATGCTGTGGGGCTCGGCTGCGGCTTCACACGAGCAACTCAGTTCCTCAACTCACAATTCCCGTCCGAAGCAACTGGCGTAAGTTAAGCGCGTGCTGCTTACGAGTTCGGCGACGAAGCGGAATACGGAGTCATGCGGTCAGCCAAAAGGACACAAACCTACTGGCTCGCTGGGTGTCGGGGCGGGCGGTACGGCGGGTGGGGCGCCATTGGCCCGCCGGGGCACGCCTCCGAGGAAGCTGCCGGTGCCGCCGCGCCGTCGCTCCGCATCACGCGGCACCAATTCTTACTTTTACATTTGCAAACTTCACCAAACATTCCCACTTGCACACTCAAGTTTAAACTACTTCCATGAAATATTCGGCGGAGTTACGACGAGGTCGATATCGCGAACTGGATTCACTTGAACCGTAAATACGGTTGGTTTACGCCGCCTCTTATAAAAATGCAAGGGAATATAGAATTTCCTATACGTTGTCTTGAGTCGTCAAGGCGCGGTAGGGTATATTAACGTCGGATGCGAGGCGACGATGCAAGAATTCAAACGAGTGCACTAGCGCAGTAGACTTAAGGATTTAGATCACGTATCTTCAGATACAAAGTAACTTTCCGACTAGTTCAGGCCTGCAGCCGCATTCAGTATAAATTGCACGACGTCAGCACATAATCAGCATCGTATTATGAACACACATTTTTCGCCGCTAAGATCCTGTGTAATCGTGTGTAACATATAACCCAAAGAGAATTTAATAACAAAAATAAATTAAACTGTATTGAAGTGGCACATTTAGATTAGTTTGGTGATGTGCATTCAACAGGTACAGTTCTATTTTGGCAATAGCTATTAGCTAGGTTGTGGGTTCGTCTTCCACCGGGTCCGGCAAATACTGAAAAATAAACAAAACAAACTCTAAATATTGTCTGTAGTATACGCGAGTAGTGCACATTAAAAAAGAAACACTAGGGTTTAAAAACGCGAACAATATTTGTCCTCTATCACACCAGGTCTGCGTCAAACGTCGGGCTGTAGTGAATTAAAAACAAAAATAAGTTAAATAATTTCTCGTTATAAGCCATTGAGCGTTTTCGATTTAAATATGGATATTGTAAAAAATGTTTCTCATCATTAAATTGTCTAGCAAAAATTTGGATTGGTAGTAAGAATATTGGAATTTCGTTTGGATCACAAACCACCTTCTTTCGTCATCTTCATTCTTTCTTCAGCCATGTTGGCGTTTTGTTTTCAATCGGTTTCCTTTTCTTGTTGTTTTAAGAACTCTAGGTCTTGTCATAAAAAAAAGTACGAGCAAGCTGTTTTGGAAAAACGTACCAAACCCGACACAGCGTGCATCGCTGTCTGTGCAATGATATATCGTAGAGACTGTTAAGTGGCATGCAAAATGTATTTATACTTTGTACTTCCTTGCGTCGTTATGGCAAGCTTCCAAGTAAAACAATCTTCCGCTGGGCGACGATAACGGCACCAGCTATGATTTTATTACGTGAGACAGCCATAAAAATTAAATAAACTACACTCGTAAGCATATTAACGACTCCAATAATTAAACCCTCGGCATGAAGCTTTCAATTTATTGTGAAATTAAAGTATCGACTTTAATTATATTACAACGCAATTTGTATTGCTGTTTAAATAACAAATTGATATTATTAAACTTAGCTTTAATATTAAAAACGTTATCGTGTGGCTGATTATATTTATCAAAAATATAAAGTCAATATCTGTAGTATATTTTTAATAGTAAAATAAGACAAATTTAGTATGTCACATGATTGGTTAAAAAAAATATCCAAATTTGTACCGACTAGAATTGTTTTAATTTTCAATGACCTAGGTACACTTCTTCATTAAATGAAAAACGTTAAATATAAGAAAGTCAACAAAAACGATGCATTGGTATGAATACCTACACCTTTTACGATGTAACGAAATATTATATTTTAATTACAAAAATAACACCTACTAGATGTTATTTTTTGTAGTGTAGCATTAAATAAAACACTTTTTAATTGGCGTTTTAAACCGTTTCATGTATTTAAGTCAAAAATTCAGTCATTATTAATATTTTATAACATCAGTTAGAGGCCTTGAACAATAAAATGTTAAATAGTTTTTCGATGTAGAATATTTTAAATTTGTTAATTTGACGGCTATATTTGATAAACAACTGTAATATTATACTTAATGTTTAATAATCACTAGCTAGCCACTTGCTCAATGCGAGATGTGCCTAGATTAGAATCCCGGGGAATATAATAAATAGTTTCGGTCGAGCGGGGCACAGAAGTCTAATCTAGAGTTTATTCAATTGGCAGAGCCGTTTAAATCCGCTAAATTCCTGTTTAATACAGCAAGCCGAGTGGAATTACGGATAAGAAGATACAATATAAATCTATAGCTTAAAACTATTACTTATACTATCAATGCAATAGTGTGCTTCTTTGTTCATTTTTGAGTATCAAAGAGTAAAATATACGTTCTGAAAAAATAAACTTTACGGGTCAATTGTTATTATCACTTAAGGTTTTGTTTTCCGGTCTTATTTTAATGGCGTTTATTATAATTTGAAATAAAGTATTATCTTTATTTTTCACCTTTTTGCATAGAGAGTATACTCGAATATAATTTCAAAGAGTATTCAAAACGTCATTTTTCTAGGTTATGCCAGATTGTGTCATTGGTTGATTTAATGTTAGTCCTTTTTTCATTTAAATATTGTGGTTTATGCAGGACTAATTTCAATAAAACACTTTTAACGGATTAAAACGCGAGATATAATGGTTGCTGCAAAGCATCCGAAACTCGGGACGTAATTTAAGATAAATTAAAAATAAGTCTCATAATAACTCAAATATTTCACGTTTGGAACTGTTAAATAAGTGTTTTATTTATATATCTTTTCTATTGCAATTAGGTAATCTGGAACACAGAAATCTTTACTCGGATCGTTTACACCGAGCCGACCTGAATCTCGTCATGTCAAACATGTTTCAAGAAGGTGTTCTTGCATATTGTCCGTTGTAAGGGCCAGACTACCCTCGTCAAAGTCACGCCTCATTGACCCTTACCGAATATTGACTAGGAAGCAATTTATTTCATATGAATCTTGGATATCCTCATGATGCTTTCCAGAAGTGGCCTTGTTGATTTAAGCTAATGACCCGGAGGCATATTTCCTCTGTAACGTTGTTGATTGATATATTTGGTAACTTTATTTTTGACATACATTATACTAACTATGTCGCGAGTTCGTTCGCGTAGAATCTTTAGGCATCAAATTTGTTTTTGAAACCTCTTCATCTTTATAGATATAAGCTTTTTCCCACGACGGCACAAAAAAATATTATTCAATTCTAACCGAAGAAACAAACACACCCTTCAGGTTCTCTCAATTATTATAGACTAGCGGCCCTGTCCCGGCTTCGCTCGGGTAGACATAAATAAATACAAATATTTAAATTATAAGCATGCTAATTAAAACGACGAATAGAATCACTAAATTAGAAAAAAATTGTATTGCGCGACCTCTCTGTTAACAACCGTGGTCTATCTCGCTGGTTCGGGAGCCGCTGCGAGCGCAGTGTTAGTGTCCCGTGCACACGTTCGCGAACCTGAATATTCGACGATAGATTCTCTGGCTCGCGATTGGGACGCGTACACTCTAATACTTTCCAGACGATCATTTTAGGAAGTAGACGCTCCAATACGACGAACTTTTGCTAATCTCGTTTGAAAACTATTCTTAGATAGCTGCGATCTTCTTCTTCTAGGCATATTGCTATGAAGGATATTTATTTTAAATCAGAGAAATTATAGACAAAAGGAAATATTCAAGTTCAAAGCGATAGTTCTGAAAAGAACTTTGACAAACATTATGCAAAGTGTGATTCCTAATAGTAAAACTAAGTAGCTCTGAAAAGAACTTTTTAAGTGGAGCATAAAAATGTTAAAAAAAAATCAAAATATTCAATGTCGTTCGCGCCCACTGCGTAAGGACGTCACGGCCCCTCTATCGTCGAATTAGTTACAGGTATCTCCTACCTACCCAGTGAGTTCCGTCCAACTCTTTAGCTCCCACCCGCATTGCGGCGGTCAACCAGCCATCCCCCCTCGGGGCACCCTTGGTCTAGCCGGCGAGCGCCATCGCCCAAAACGGTTAGTATTCGTGGCTCCTTAGGAACACAATACGTAAGAGTCCATTCAAAAATAAAAAAATCGATGCGCGGCGTGGCAGCCGACGCCGGCATGTTTTTTTTTATTTTAATTTCATGATATCTTTTGGATGGCATGTCCGATTTCAATAATTAAATAGTAATCATCAGGTATTGAGATAGTCTTAAATATTAAATTATTTATTTGGATAAAAATTTATAAATAAGTTAATTTTGATGGATTTCTATTAATTTGATAAATGTAAAAAAAGTAGTTATAGCGACGTAACTACAATAGTTAGACATAGATATGCTCTCGGGATATTTTTTGTAGATATTGATATATTCTATAAAATTGTTAAACATTTTTTTGTCCCATCATTGATACTTTTCGCAGGGTATGCGAAGAAAGACATTTTACGGGTAATTTTTTTACGCTTTCTGTGGGTTTTAGTAAGAATTTCTATAGACGCCTATAGTAATCAAGTACTAAATAGCCTATGTTACTCAGTGATATTGTAGCTTTCTAATAAAAAAAGAATCTTTAAAATCGGCTCAGTACTTTTTGAGTTTATCGATTACATACAAAAATACAAATCTTTCCTCTTTATAATATTAGTATAGATAACGTCAGCATCAACAGGCTTTTAGAACACAATTTTAGATTTTTTTTTAGTTCGATGACATGAGCGAATTGTTGACCGACATCCATTGAGCTACCATTTATCACACATCATCGATTTATTCTTACATCTTATTAGTATGACAGTTGAGTTACAATTTTCAAATATCCAAAGCCAAAATAAGTCGACGGCGTATCTTGTAGAGCTGTCTATTATCGAGTATCGTTAAAAACGAAAATAAATATGGGGTATGGAACAAAGATATTCTCTACCCGACGAACCTACTTTGTTTCCCAGGGCTTTAGACGTCTAGTCATCTTCACATTAACTGTTGTAACTAAATGTTCAAAATATCCTTTGTATTCATTAAATATGGTAATATATTAAATTCTTAACATTTTTAATACTGTCTGTAGTTTGCGCGATTTAAAACGCAATATATTAGTGGAACATCGTACCGTGGTTAAAAATTATTTGTACCTAGTTGTAACTAGTTTAACTAATATAGTTCGCGTTTTAAATCGTTAAAGTGTTTTGTTTCAAAAAATATTTTTTTAGTTAGAGCTTTCTATATGATTAAGTATAAGAATAGAATTTGAAGATCCTCATAATACAACATACAGTGGAGTTTTCGCAATATTATGATAACTGATAAAGCGAGGTGCAGCGTACATTTTCATGGATGGGCGAGCCGCTTTCAACCCTTGTCAATGTCAGGCTGTATTATCTGCAAATTTTATATTGAACTGCAACATTCGCTTCTTCGCTTGTGTTGTATCAAAATGTTCAAGGATGTTTGCATTATTGCGGGAAAACGTGTGAAAGCAACACTTGAAAAGCTAGTTTACACTTTGAAAATTAAATTTCTCCTTCTAATTTGTACATAAGTTCAGTTTTAACGTGTAAAATAAGTAAGTGAATATTAAATTGTTATAATAATGAATGAAGCGGCAATCAGCATTAAAGGTTTCAGTAGAAGATAAATTATATATTTTTTTTTACCGTAACCATATTCTTCTCTGTATATATTCATCCACCTAAGCCTAACGTGTTATTTCATATTAGAAAAGAGTAAATACTTGTTATATTTTAAAAATCGAAAATAAATTGAAAAAAAAATTCGACTCGGGCAGGACTTGAACCGGCATCGTCAGCGTTCCGTGCTGTTGCTCTACCAATTGAGCTACCGAGTCTTCTACTATATCTACTTGTTATATTGTTAAGAACGAAGTTTTTAAAACTTAAAATAATTTTATATCTAAGTTCTTACAAAGAGTATGGGTTACGATAATAACAGTAAACAAAATCGCTGCCGTAGAAACCATTACCAATACGGAAACTGCACCTAAGAAGTAAGCTTTCTCATCATCAAATTAAAATGTAAGAGGATAGTGTAATTTCTCGGATGAAAGAAGTGGAATAATAAGTTTTTTCGAGTAACAAAGCAAATAAAAGCGTTAATGCGGCTGCATCGAGATTTTCCAACTGAGAAAAATTGCTCTTTTATGAAAGGTTGCAGTTAAGAAGGTTTTAATGAAAATTCTGAGTCGTGGTATTGACAAGCCGTGTTTTTATAGGAATCTCATTACAATACGCGTATTGGAAAACTACTTATCTATCCCTCCTGTTGGTGTCAGGCTTCTAATTATAAACAGAAGATCCATATTCAATGCACGACATCTTAGTTTAGTTTTATCTAAAAATAAGTATATGTTTTTAACTATACTTACAGCAAATAAATCATATAAAACAATTTAAAAGACATTCAAGTACTCTCTAAGTTATCGTGTCTCATCTGTTCTTTATTTTGATAAACGGAGTTTGTTTCGTCATAATTAAAACGCGCTTAAACAAATGCAAACTGCGCAGTAAAGCACAATCGGGTCATTCATAATCCTCTCTTTGATGTTGATGTTCTCGTAAACTTATAATAATGTAAAAACAGCAGATGAATCAACATAAAAGCCACTGGATACCCAGATTTATTACCAGAGCGAAAGCAGGACGCGAAATGGTCTAAATTAAAGAGCAATGCCTTGTCGAGACACAGCCAGCGGAAACAAAGAGCTGGAAATTCATCAAGCTCTTTTGAACTCCGGGTATTGTGGTGCAGTATTCAGAGACCATCGGAAAGAAAATCTTCAAGTAGATCGCCACTCTTTGACGCCCGATGCAAAAAAAGTAATCCCTTTCCCCGGGAAAATCCCACTTCATTATCGCCCGTCCCACATAAAAGTATTCGACTCGGTATTGAGGATGCTAAAGAACGCTACTTGTTGAATGCGGATTTTGAATAGATTAAAATAAGTTTATTAAATGATTTAATCAAACCGCAGACTTCAATTAAAATGTTTCCGTTCGTTTCTCTAGAGGCTGACAGTAATTGTGCCAATCTAATCTAAAATCTAGCGAACGTTTACCTTTTTTTTTTCGGAAATAGTTTGATAAGTGACAACGCAGAAGAGTGAAAAGCATTGTTTAAATGAAATACTGTCTATAGTTTACGCGAGTAGTACACATTTAAATAAAACCCTTTAACGGTTTAAAACGCGATATATTAGTTAAATATATTTGAAAATGATTTTTAACTTCGGCCCGACGTTTCCCCGTGACCACGGCTGCTGCAAAGCATGCAAAGCGTCCAAGTTAATATTTTCAAATAAGTTTAACTAATATATCGCGTTTTAAACCGTGTGTTTTATTTAAATGTTGTTTAAATGGTTAGCTTGTGCAGCTTCTAATTTTAAATATTAAAAAGACAACCTCGAACTAATTACGGTAAAAATAGTATAAGATTTAAGGGCGCTGATCTCTACAATAAGTTACCTGAAAGTATAAATTAACGCCCAGCCTATTAACATCTTCAAAAAATCATTAAAATTCCATATTTTAGAATAATAATGAGTTAATAATTAGTTTTTTTATTTATTTATATATCACTGTTTCGTTTAATTAAAGTACCGATGCATGTAAACACATAAGTATTATTGTTTTCTCATTAAGTGAATATGTATATTGTTAGAGAAAATAAATTCTTCAAACCTAAACACGTACTTTATTTTATTTAATGCCAATAGACATGTTAAAATACAAATACTTTAACTTTCATACATTCTTTTACATACATATGCTACTGCATTTTATTATATAAAATGGAAAAATCTTCGACTTTCCTGCTCGACATCCACTTGTAGGAAACGATTTCTTTTTAAGTGAGTCGACTCTGTATTTTTCCCTATCATTAAATCAAAGGAAGCATTAAACTTGACGTTTATATAAATTCCTTAGTGTCTTTGTTTTGTTCCTTTTAAACATTATACGTGTATACAGTTTTGTAGAATACTTAAAAGATATTTCTGCATACACTCGTTAGTTATGGAAGGATTATCATCAATAATTATTTCATTTAATTCAATACATAATCAAAATAACATATTTAATTAAAATATGCTGTAAACGACATTATCTAGATATATTATAATACCATATTATAGGAATATGTTGTATATAAATTCAAAGTATTGTGAAAAATGTACTTAAATTTTAATTATCTATAATGTTTTATAAAACATTTAAAAAACTGCTGCAATTGCTTAAGGGTGGGTTGCACGAGAAGTCCTATATTCGAATTCCAGGAAACATTATAAAAAGGGCCCGGTTAGCCTAGACAACTGGATATAAAATAAATAAAACAAACACTGATATACTGATTCGATTTTTTATTTTTAATCATTAAAAAAAATCTAACCCAAACCATTACGTACATTGGGTAGTAGTACAAATAGCTATATACAAATTATATTAGGAGATAATTTCAAAGGCAGACAATTGTGTCAGATTGATGACCATACACGGTTGCTAAGAGCAACAGCACATGCTTATATAACGGCCCGAAACGTCGGGCCGAAGTTAAAAATCATTTTCAAATAAGTTTAACCAATATATCGCGTTGTAAACCGTAGAAGTGTTTTATTTAAATATTTATACTTTATATAAAAGTATCACGCGCAAAAGTATGTGAAAATGTAACGATGTATAAAAACTAATAATATTTAAATTTCGAACGTTTTTCGCGATGCATTACGGACCGTTTAAAACGCTTTTAAACAACTTAATAGATTTTGATGTAACACACTTTTCATAGACGCAGGTAGGATTCGGTTGTTTAAAGATTTATATGTTCAACATTGACGTCTACGATATCTAAATGTTGTTAAATAAATGATGTAACATACACATTCCATTACAAGATGTGTACGCTCACGTACCATGACTTAGTGACTCCTGAAACTCCCTCGCGATTTCTGATCAAGATTGATGTATTCTAGAGATTCGCAGCGTGATACGTGTTTTGTTGACCGTACGTACAGTCACAATAGATGTAGCTACTTCGAATGAAATTCTGGCGTCTGACAGCTGATAAATTTTCATGTAAAATCAATAGGTACATTCGAGCGCTAAAGTGTTAACCAGTATTGAAATTAATAAATACTATTAATAAATTCTTATTACTATACTGATAAACACTTTTCACGAAAGGATAATAGGTTTAACAATTTTACTTATATCATTGTTTTTCGGGCTGTTCGGCAGACGGGAGCGAGAAGAGGTTCTCGACGTTTTCGAGCAATTGAGAAGCTAACATCTCCTGATGATGCCGTCCGCTTATGATGGCCGTGAAAACCTTACTCAATTTAATTTTACATAACTTTCATTTTTATATAGAAACTTTAAATAAAAATCCTAAGATGAATAAAATTTTAACATTTAAATAAAACACTTTAACGGTTTAAAACGCCATATATTTTAGTTTAACGTTTTTGAAAATTATGTTAACTACGGTCCGACGTTTCGAATGCTTTGCAGCAGCCGTTGTCACGGGGAGACTAAAATATATATTCTTAATTTTTTTCACCAATTATAAATGTTATTTTCAATAGTAACAACAACGCTAGCTAATAACAAAGCTATCTCAGGTAAGTAAATGAAGTTCAAAATATGGTAAACATTTTCTACGCCCGACTGTACATTGGTGTTGCATGCAAATGCTTTGGAATACGTGAGTATTAAATTCCATATGTTTTATGTATACCTTTGACACGCAAAATAAATTTAATATAAAGTAATGATTAGCCGTCCGCTGATTATTCACCTTGATAGTCATTGGTTAGCCTATAAAGCTTTTACTAGATTAGGTCAATAGTTCGAATCATAGTTTGGACCAAATGTTAGTTCACTATTTGACATTTTTATAAAAACATCTGTAATATCACCGGGAGTTAAGTACTAGAATATGTCGAAAGCTAATTTAGTGACGGTAGTTGTTAAAACACGCCAACCCACACTGGAACAGTTTCGTGAGTTTAAATTTTAAATATATTAGTTAGCTTATTGTCAATTTATTTTATTTACGGCCCGACGTTTCGGATACTTTGCAGCAGTAGTGATCATGGGGGATAAATATACAGGTTATCCCTAATACAAAGTCAAACCTGCTACGGTGACCCCATCTATTTCTTCGTAGTTGTCTGTAAATAAAAATCGATAACAGACATAGACACATAAATGTGTCTGACTATTCCTCACGATAAGGAGGATTTCAAAACGTTGCATTGAATAATATGAAGAACAATTATTTCTAAGGACGAAAAAAGATTAAAGAATAAGGAAATATTAAAATAGAGAAAAAGAGGCACATGTGAAAACACCCGAAAAATATTACATTACTGGGTAAAAAGATGTGTCAAGAAGATAATCAAATTCTCATTGTGACGGACCACATCAATTTACGAGTTAACTCCGACTTGTAGTTTGTCCTTTTGTTTTTCATGTTACATTTAGGGTGACCATTCGGAAAGATGAATGGTATGAAAGTTTCACAAAGCACAATCATTTATTTCATAATATAAATATATATTTGTACGTCATACTGTTTAAGATAGAAACAAAAGACTTCAAAACCAAAAAGAACTGGCAACGAGTTTACTCCTTTCTTTCGGCATCAAGTTTCATTTCACAATTAAATAATAATAAAATACGAATATTCAGAAACAATAACAAGAACAGTATTTTGACTAATTTACAAACAATATAACGAGAATTACAAGAATACTATTATATAACTAATTACAGATAAAATACCGTTGCCTCTGCCTGCCTCATGAGTCCACTCAGCTACGTTAGGACTTATGTCTCAAAACTAAATATTGTTACCCCATCAGAGGCCGAGCTAACACCAGCAAGATACTTTCTCTCACAGTGCATAAATCTTAGTGGTACCAAAATGCCTATATATAACTATCTATATTGTTAGTTTTATAAATTGAGCCTTGTTGAGTGCTTACGTGTTATGATCGTTAATTTTTATTACTAAATATAGAAAAATCTGGAACCATACAAATATAGCAAAAAACGAACAAATAGATATACTTCCATAGAATTAAACAACCATAAGAGATTATTCAACAATCTGTGGGAAGGCATATTTTTAGTTACAAACGGTCCTATTGTTAGGAAAAAGTGTCTCCGGAAACGAGGTCGCATGGGGAACGCATTCACGTCACTTCCTTTGTTTCCCGCCACTCTTGGATTATGTTAATGCCGTCTCACAGACATTTGTCTTTGTGTAATGCTCCTTAGCTTTACTTGCGCAAGCACAGTAATACTTTCTTGTATTCACCTACATAATGTACTCTATTTATGGTAATTCGGTTTCACTATTCGCTTTGAACTCAAATATATGCTTAGTACCTCGGCAAGAAATAAATAATAAAATTGAAGAAAAAAGATCTGTTTCAATACTGAAACTGAATTATAATGCTCAAAGGAACCCTTAATTATAACTGAAAAATATACGAAATTTAAAATGTATTAATAATTACACAAAATTACGTCACCGCATCGGTACGGTGTGCATAGAACAACAGCGCGGGAAGTTGTAGACGTCGCTCTAACTCCTGTCCGTATCAAAATTCATTTTAATTTACATCATGCTATAATGTATAATATAGAGTAATAAAGTTTACAAATAATCAGCTTTTCGTCATTTAAAACTTTGTTTTTAAGATAATTTAGTTTTAAAAAGGTTTACCTTAATACGATTGTTAAAATAATCAAATACCAAAATATATCCCAACACAACAATAATCGCACAAAGCATATTCAGTTCGTCGACATATATTTCTCAGAACTGACTGTGTAGCGTGCTTCGTCCGACTTAATGCCCTTATCGTGGCGCCCACAAACACACGATATATATAACATTACCTATAATACATACT